AGTTTGTTTTTATGTTCCTTGACTCAACGCGGTGAGCTGTAGGGTCTATTATTCGAATGGGGAACTAGGGGGTCCGCCACGTTAGAGCCCCTTGACGCAGTAAGGCCGCAATTACTTCCCAATTCGGACCGGTGTTGAGGAGGCCCCGTTAGAATACAGCCGAATTTACCTCCTGACTGCAAATCATCCAATGGGTACGGGAGTCACATAACACCCTGGATTAGGAGGTGGTAGATCTTGGTTGATGCACCCGACATCCTGCCTGTACAGTGCCTATCAGCACCACCCACACCGGTTGGAGGGTGCCGACTATGCCTTGCGCCTAAGCCCCTGCAGGTAGGTTGATGTCGAATCGTCAATCTGTTCATCCCCTTGTGATCATTTCGTAGGTAGGAATGCCAAAGATCGTAGTGTGCGTTAAAGTTCCAAACGGTTTTCACCACGAAGTAGCGCACCTATATTCGGGTGATATCCTGTAGAGCAACATGTGAGCAACATGTAACTGGGGGGGTGCTCGAAAGATCTGAGCGGCTGTTTAGCTTGGTTTCTTGGAGCGCTGGTATCGAAACGCGTTCCCGGTTCATGAGTGAAGCTATCTCCTCGATCTTACTCTGGAGTCCGTTACAGTTGAGTTTTAGTATTCGGGTTTGTTGCGGGTGTCCGTGGGTGATCCTGAGGAGGACAGAGTGGCGTGAAGGTGGTCTTGTAGGGGCAGACCGGAACACGCCGAGAGGTGACACAAGTCACAAGTGACGTTCTGACTTATTTTGGTCTGACATACGGAATAGACTGTGCGAGGAACCAAAAGTTGCTGAGTGGAGCAACCCTGCTGCAAGGCGTTGCTCTGGTGACGAAAAATTTAAATTAATACTCTCCGATCCAAAGTAGGTTACATAACGTTCCCACGACAGTCGATTCTACGAAAACCGGAACGRACCCGGATTTTTATCCGGCCAAGGACTGTCAACTCGGCAGAATTCTGCCGTTACAACAACAACAACAACAGCTTATATAACTGACGGTAGATAGAACCGACTGTCGCGGGAATTGGCACTATTAGGATTTCTTTGGTACCGCGATCTGAAAGTACCGTCGGAAAGAGGAAGTCCTCCTGATTAAAAAGTATACAGGGTTGTAGTACCGCAAATTCTAAGTTTACGGGATATTTGGTTTTTAAAAAAAATCCCCAGATTCGAACATTTCAACAAGTTATTTCATTACATTTAACACACTTGATGCACATGTTTCAATTCAAATTCATTTAATTAAACTATAAATATTTAAACAAATTCACAATTTACATTTTTTGCAGGTTTTATAAGTGAGAAATTTATATTTTAAAAATCACATAAATAATTTCTAAATTATTTTATTTATTGAATCTGCTTTTTCGTAAAGCCTAACAATAAGTTATAAAATCTTAAAGCTATTTAAAAGCTAGAGAGGCTTCAACAAGTGATTGAGCTGTTTTGGTGATACGTCGCTCTTTAATACCTTTTAAGTCGTGTTTGATCGCAGGAATGTACCAAAGCATTTGTCAAAGGGTTTGGGTGATATCGGAGTATAGATATATATTTTATTATGCTGTCTTCTACTTATTTCTTTACCTTAAGGATATCAAGTTCTTATATATTATAGATATTTTCGTTATGCATATATGTACCATGGTGAACCCGTGATTGGTCTAAGCATTTTTGATTGAAACTTTTGTAATAATAGTTTGTCAAAAAAGTCTTGCGGTATTATTTATTTATTTTTTTTATTTTTTATTTTATAACTTGACCTTGCTTGGCTGCTACTATGCTGGTCTTTTTCGACCAATTCAGCGATTTTATCGCAATTTTCGACGACAGGCCTTCCGGAGCGTGGCACATCTTCGACCACCTCTACACCAGAACGAAAACGTTGAAACCATCGTTGTGCGGTGGAGATGGAAACTGTATCGGGTCCATAAACTGCACACATTTTATTGGCGGCTTGAGATGCATTTTTGCCTTTATCGTAGTAGTACTGTAAAATATGTAAATTTGCTCCATGTTTGCGACGCTATAACTCACGAACAACGTAAAAGAAATGAGCTTTCCAAAAAGGTATAGCATGACCCGATGCGACGAATAAAACTAGAACTACGCGTTCTAGCGAAAATACCGCAAGCCTTTTTTGACAACCTATTTAGTTAGTATTAGTTGCACAGGTCGTACCCCCGAGTCGGTTTTATGACCGCATTATATAAAAACACCTTGTTGTCTAGGCTAACTTTGGAGTTTTTATTTAAAAGCCAATTTAAATTTGCAACTCTAATGACCGCATTATATAAAAACACTTTGTTGTCTAGGCTAACTTTGGAGTTTTTATTTAAAATCCAATTTAAATTTGCAACTCTAATCTTCATACATGTTATTTTACTAGAGATGTGTCTTCTCCACTTGAGCCTTCTATCTAGGTGAATACCCAGATACCGGGCACATCTTTGGCCTTAGCGAAAATGTAATATGCTTACACTTCTGTTCATTCACATTTATAGGCCAGTTCGCCAGCCATTCTTCGACAGAACTGAAATGCTCCGCTGATATTCTTGATGCTAAAATGTTTCATTTGTTAGGGCTACAGCTGTGTCGCCCGCAAAAGTTGAAATTAGTACATTACACAGTACAACAGCTAATCTGAGGGGTGAGAAATTCCAAGTCAGGGTGATGGTACTAGGTCAGTATAGTAAAAAGCTCAAAGGGTTTGGCGTTCGTATGTGTCAGTTTTTTTTACTATGACCTTTTAAATTTTTTCCTTATTTCCCATGGTTTTCCATCTTAACAAATTAATTTTTTCCAATCAGGCGTACTAAATGGTGCAGATATACATACGAAAGCTGATTAAAAGTGACGCATGATAGGCAATCAAAGAAGTAATAGAAGGCTTGTTGGGATAGCATCGTTCTAACAACTGCGATGTTTCTGTCGCAAGGATGTTAAGAGCGTTCTCGGAAATTGGGTTTTTTTTTGTGTGTTTTTTTGTTTTTGTCAAAATGTTACAACTAAGCGAAAAAACATCATAAGGAAAAAATTTAAAAGGTCATAAAAAATATGACACATACGAACGCCAAACCCTTTGAGGGTTTCATTATACTGACCTAGTACCATCACCCTGACTTGGAATTTCCCACCCCCCAGACAATAATCCCAAAAATGCTCCACAGTGTTATTAGCTGTTGGAAGATCCGCTTTATATATGATACGAGTATATAGTGTTGGGCCTAAAACACTGCCCTATGGTACACCAGCCGTTATCTGTCGTTCATCAGATACGAAATCTTCCAGTTTTACCATAAATTTTCTATTTTTTAAAAAAGACTCCAATGTTTTATACAATTGTAAAGGTGGAATTTTTTTAATCTTGTATAAAATATCTTCGTGCAACAACTTATCAAACGCCTGAGCTACATCTAGAAATATTGCTGAACAGTACTCCCTGCGCTCAAATGCTTTCATTATCTCGGTAGTAATTCTATTTACAGTTCAACGTGAGCAACCACCGTGTAAACACGTCCCGTGACCTTTTCACGCGTTCTTTTCCTCTTTGCGACCGACTACGATAGTCTAGCCGTTTCAGGTTCGGCAGCTCCTTAAAGTTGTAGTTGTTAGTTTATTAGTGTACCCAAAAAAAAAAAAAACTCAGTGCCGTAGTTATCATTCGACACCATGAACGGGGCCAACCCCCCCGAAAGCAATATGTTTCGGTTACTCGATCCCGATTTGCAACGTCCCAACAAACGACCAAAATTCAGTGACTTTGTACCACTTCCTGCGCCAAAACAAAATGACGACCATATTCCTCGGTTCTTAGTGGCAAGTGCCATCGGTCCAATTGCAGATGACAAAATCTGTCCATTATCATCATATAATGTCTTTCAAATCGAAAGTAGTTTAAAACACATTTGCGGTGATAACACCGTTGTAATGGAATTAAGATCCGGTGACCTCCTCCTAAAAGTCGAAAATGCGAAATCGGTCGAAAAGTATATCAAAGCAACTCACATAGGCTTATACCTGTAAAAATTACCTCTCAAAAAGGTCTTAACATCATGCAAGGCAGAATATTTTCCAGAAACCTAATCAATCCCTCCGAAGAAGAATTAGTAGAAGGGCTAGGAAACCAAAAAGTGATCGAAGACAAAAAAATCATGCGAAAAGATGGTGACGCACTAATCTCTACCGGTGCTGCAATTGTGACATTCGACCTAATCCGTAGACCTGAAATTATTAAATTAGGATGGGAAAGGGTTCGTGTGCAAGAATTTATCCCAAATCCAATGCGGTGCAAAACCTGTCAAAGACTCGGTCACACCAAAAATAGATGTCGAAATATTGAGCTATGTAGCCAGTGTGCAACCTCTCCGCCACATAATCCATGCCCAAGAAGGTTCTGCATAAACTGCCAAATTCAAATCCATCCATCCAACGACCCTGGCTGTCCCACTTTCCTTAAACACAAGTCAGTAAATAAAATAAAAATAGAGCGCCGATGCACAATTAGAGATACATGGAAAATCTTCAACAGCGACCCCAACACACATCAAATCCAAGCTCCTCTAAAAAAWACAAGGGCGCCGTCCTTCGCACAAATTGTAAAAAACACCAACAGTATAATTACCGAACCAACAACTGTAAACACAGCACACGACTTGCAAAAAACTCCAGCAAACAAACCCCATGTAGAAACTACAAACAATAACCCACAAGCAAATAACGGAGAATCCAAGAAAACATGTCATACTAAATCAATCACACAAACAACTTCAACCACATCCAAACCTCAGCAGAAAACCAGCACAACAACATCCCCAGTAAGACAAGAAACAGCAAATAAGGTCAGCACACCAGAAATAGCGACTACAAGTAGAAATGCAGAAAAAAATTCCAGCCCACCCACCCCTACATACCCCAGCCCAATTACCAGTGATACCGAGATGTCWCYTTTCAGCCAATTACACGCAAAATTCCCCAAYCTTAACGTCCTCATAACACCAAATACATATAAAACAACATTACCGTCACACAAGTCAACCAACATAGATAAGTCATAAATATAAATATTCTTATACTAACCCTTTAATTCATATACAAACACACATATTATATAACAAACCATTATTACAGTGGAACATAAACGGGTATCACAATAACTTCATTGAACTTGAAATCCTAATAAAGATGTATAAACCCTCCAATATACTTCTAAACGAAACTGACCTTGCCCACAATTCCTCTGCCCCACCCCCAAATCCTACGTAGGGCACTTCCACAACCTACCTCACATAATCTCAAAGAAACAAGGAATCACCATTCTGGTTAAGAGAAACCTTCCCCACCACCCCCTTCCTACCCAATCTAATATATCCTCACTATCCATAGAACTTCAAACCCCCATCAGAATCACAATAACTTGCGCTTATTCCCCGCTAAGTCAATCAATAACTACAGCTGACTTTTACAATCTTTTCCCCTCCCCTCCCCAACCCTTTATCCTTGCAGGCGACTTTAACGCTTGGAGTCCGCTCTGGGGATCTGCCTCCTATAATCAGAGAGGACATTCTATAGAAACTGCCATCCTCTCCTCCAACTGCATCGTACTAAACGACGGCTCCCCCACCCACTTCTCAACCCACTCAACCTTTACTCATATTGACCTTACGCTTTCCTCTCCCTCCCTTTCCAACAACTCATCATGGGACGTTATAGATGACCTTCACAGCAGCGATCACTTCCCGATCCTCATCAAAATTCGCACATCCCGACCCACCATTCCCTTCTCTCCCATGATCAAATTTAAAACAGATAGAGCAGATTGGAACAAATTCGAAAGCGCATGCGACTTCTATTCCAAATCCTTCCCAACATCTTCCAACATCAACCAAGAAATCTCCAATATCCATAAAGCAATCCGCTGTGCATCCAACGTCTCCATCCCTCTGTCCTCAACCAAACCAGTAAAGCCAGCGCCCCTATGGTGGAACAACGAAATTGCGTCCCTTAGGCAAGCCAAACAACAAGCGTGGYACAACTTCAAACGCAACCGGTCCACCACAACTCTCATTCAATTCAAAAAGCTAAACGCGCAATTTCGCCGGAAAATCAAAGATGCTAAGCTCGACTGTTTTCAAAAATTTACTAGCAGCATCAGTGCGTCATCCGACCCTAAAAAAATCTGGGCTGACATAAAAACACTCACCGGTTTACCCTCTAATCCCCAAATCTATTCCCTTAACACCTCTCATGGCAATCTTCTATATCCCCAGGATATAGCTCAAGAATTCGTCAGTCACTTCTCTAACGCCTCTTCTGACCAAACCTTCCCCCCCGAATTTATCGCCTCTAAACGCTCACAAATCCTCCAACATCGTATCACACTAACCACTCTCTCTCATTCAGCCAAACTTTTAGAAGCCGACATATCTCTTTTCGAACTTCAACTCGCCCTGACCGCAGTAAAAGGCCAGACACCCGGCATCGACAAAATATCCTATCCCATAATTAAGCATCTCCCCAGATTACTCCTTCACCGTCTCATCAAGTATTACAACAATATCCTCAACACAGGCCTCTACCCACACGCGTGGAAAACCAGCACTATAATACCCCTCTTAAAATCTGGCAAATCCCCCTTGCGTAGTGAACAGCTATCGACCAATTTCCCTTCTTCCCTGCCTAGGTAAACTAATGGAGAAGATAATTGCTACCAGACTAACCTGGTACGCCCACTCAAGCCAACTTATCTAGCACAACCAAGTAGCCTTCAAGAAGGGACAAGGCACCACAGATGCCCTACTACACCTTGATCATTTTATCTCAAACGCGCTCTCCAGCAAAAACCATGTTTCCCTCCTTTCCCTCGACTTTCAAAAAGCATTTGATCGGATTGGAACTGCGGTAGTACTAAGACATCTCGACAAATGGAAGATCGGCCCCAAAATGTACAATGTTATAAAATCATCTCTCTCAAACCGAAAATTAAGTGTACTTATATCCAACACCCGCTCTTCCATTTTTCCACTCGATAATGGCACCTCGCAGGGCTCCCCCTTATCAGTCATCTTGTTCATTATAGCCTTCAATGAAATTAGCGACATCTTTAACAAGTTCCCAAACATCGAACACCAAACATACGCAGACGACGTTTTGTTGTTTTTCAAATCTAATGATCAAATAGATGTCATGAGGACCTTTTCCAAAATCCTACGCCTATTATCCACATGGTCCCTCTCCTCAATTTGTCCCATTAAAACCAAAATGCTCCATATATGCAAAAAACGATCCTGCAATTCTCCTTCATTTACCTTCAATCGTGTAAATATTGTATGTACAGATAATCTTAAGTTTCTCGGTATTGTATTCGATCCCAAATATTCCTTTCAACAGCACCGTAAATACGTTAAGGAAAGACTCTATGTAAAGTTAAACATTATTAAGTACTTATCAAGCAAACGCTCGCTGATTAGTTCGGCTCCGTTGATTGGTTGACAAACGCCCTCATCTTATCAACCATCAACTACGGCAYWGAAATCTATGGATTACACGCTAAACAAAACTTAAAGATGATCGCTGCTCCCTACCACGCCGCAGTGCGAAGATTCATACGCGCATTTCCAACGTCACCCATAAAAAATATCCTGGTCGAATCGGGTTTGCCGGCTCTTCACGACAACATGGAAGACAAAATATTCAGGCTCTATTCAAGGCTCACTCTAAGCCCCAATCCTCTTGTCCGCAAAGACTTCCAATCTGCCGCCTCACGGGTGTCCACTTCTAAACAACCCTCGCAAATCATATTGAACTGCCGATCAAGCAGCACATTCCGCGGTACACTCATCACCCCCCCTGGGCGGAAAGCAAAACATCCTTCATTAATGACCTAGCCTCCTTGCGGAAAGATAGCACACCAAACACCGTTTATATAGCCAAGTTTTCCGAAACAATCGCACATTATATATCCAACGGCTGGCAATTGATTTTCACGGATGGATCGAAGGCCTCACACACCTCCTATGCTGTGGTAACGGAAAATCAAGTAGTTGTCGCGTACGGCCTCCTTTTYTCATTCTGCTCTATTTTCACCGCCGAAGCAACCGCTATATTCCACGCTGTTCAATACTCTGCCAAAACCAAGGGTAAACATATAATATGCACCGATAGTATGTCATGTTTCCAAGCTATACAAAACCACAACAAATCAGGCAGTATCATCAAAAATATAAAAAACACACTTATTTCCTTTCCGGGCAAGATCAAAATCATGTGAACACACTTGCAGATACCATCGCCAAAGATATTTCCGTCACACCAACAATCACATCCGAAGTCATCCTACCTAGCGGCATATACCGACTAATTCATAGTCAGAGGCAAACAAAGTTATTACGTGAATGGGCGGATTATAATCACCATTATTCGGACATTAACCCAAACCGAACAAAACCTGTATACACAACATCGATACCTACCAGCCACATCACCCTCTACACACGCCTCCGAATTGGGCACACCATAATTACCAACGCGCACTTATTATAGGGCATTAGATCCAACACCTGCCCCTTCTGTCAAGCAACAGTCAGCGTGCAACACCTACTGGTATCCTGCCCAGAACTATTGTTAATGGACGCCACAGAAGAAAATATTAGCAAAATTTACAAATTTCTAAAGGGCACAGACCTACTCCGTCGTATCTGACTCAACCAGCCAGCCGAAAGCCTCTGCTGCTAGCGCTGCGTTTGCTTTAGTTTAGATAATAATTAATTATTATGTAAGCTTTGTATAAATAAATAAATAAAAATAAATTCTATTTACTTGTCTATTTAATTGTGCCATGTTTCGCACGAAAACCGAATTGATGCATTGGTATTGTATTATCTTCATGGAGGGAAGGACACATCTTTGATAGTAATACTTTTGAAAGACAGGGTAGAAGACTGATTGGTATGTATGAAGACGGCTGTGTTAAGTCTTTCCGAGGTTTATCTATCAAGATAATCTGTGACTTTTTCCATGAAATTGGATAATAGCCGAAGCTAAGAATTGCATTGAAGAGCAAATTGAGCACCTCTAAAGCAATAATTGGGAACTCAATTAGCATTTTTGGGGAAATATTATCATGTTCCGGCAACTTTTTTGGGCTAAGTTCTTTGATGATACCAATAATTTCAGAAGGTGAAGTCTTAGGAGACTCGAGCGACTCTTTAGCTGTGTTGGGTAAGATTGACAGCTTAAAGTTCATCTTTGGCAAATTGGGTTGACATACCTTTTCTAGGTGATTTGCAAAGCAATTAGCCTTTTCCTCGTCACTTCGAGCCCAATTTCCACCCAAGTCTCGTGTAGGCATGTTGGAGTCAGTTGGTGGCTTCATGGACTTTCGGGCTTTCCAAAGGGAATTTTGCTTGTTTGAATTTGGACACAGCTTCTTTATATACATTTCGGTGTTCAATTCTTCCTCACGTTTAAACGCTTTTTTAAATTAACGTACAGCAGATTTTAATTGAAGCTGAGTGGAAGGGGAACGATTTATCTGCCATTCATGTCTTACCCGCCTTTTTTCATTTACAAGCATTTCTATTTCTCTATTAGAGATTTTTCTACACCAAGCGGCTTATAGCTTTTGTTTGCTGTTGCTAAGACAGCTGCGCTTATTATTATATCATTGACTTCTCTTATGCTTTCGTCAATATCTCTTTCTGTATTTATTTTGTACTCAATATTAATGTGGCTACTGACGTATTTTATTTTATATTTATTATATATATATTAGCCAATTCGTTTTATAAGAAGTTGGATTAACGAATGTTCACATAACTTTATTATTATAGGAGAGTGATCAGAAGATAGATCAGTACATGTATCAGCGGTTATGTTATTGTGACTATTTATAACGGTTTGATACAGCTGTCCTTTCGGGTTAATAAGACGTGAGACCCAGTACGTGTGTTTTGCGTTGTAATCTCTACTTGCAGGAAATCTTTGACCTAGTGTTCCAAAAAGGTCTTTAAATTCGATTTATTCGAGGTGGACAGTATATGGCCGTAAGGTTAAAGTCACAACCTCGATTTTTTAGTGATGTTGTAGCTTGTAACTGTGGTGTAGCATGAGATTCTAGAACGTAGTGGTTTAAACCACTAAACCACTTGGTTTATGTTCTAATCAACATTGTCGTGCCACCATGCGCTTTTCCATCCGGATGATTTGTAACATATAGCCTAAATCCCGGTGTATTGAAATTATTTTTATTTGTTAGATGAGTTTCTGAAATAAGCATTACATCTACATATGTTTATTCTTCTCGGACAGAAAATTTGTGTTGGTTAATAACGTTAGCATTCCATATACAGATATTCAGTAAGCTCATTTTTTACTTAATAAATTTTACAGCATCTGATTTTGTGATTTTATTAAATCTTGGATCATATTTTGCATGCTAGACATAAATTGTATCATACACTGCATAAGATTTATAATCATAGTTTCAATACCTCCATTTGGATAATTTTTTGGCAGCTGCCTTTCACCACATTTGCATAGCTTCCTTGCATATTATTATTGCTAGAAGTAATAGGATTTTAACTTTTTTCTGAGGTTGCTATAATTTCATTTAGGGGTGTTTGTAACATTTGGTTTATGTATTTAGAAGTGGGATGTAAATGACCACATAACACACAAACTCTGCTTAGAGTGCAATATGATTTGGTATACCCATATTCTTGGCAGTTAGTACATTGTACCGGACTGTTTCTTTAATGTGTCTTTCTACTAAATATATTTACAACTGTTTTAATTCCAAAACCGAATTCTTCCAATGCTTCTTTGACTCCACTAGAGTCTACCGCGGACTCTATACCCTTGATTACAGCAAAAAGGCCCTTAGAGCTCTTATACGAATAATAGTTCTTGTTTTTATTTGAAAAAAATTTAACTATATCCATTAAACTCTTTTCAGTGTAGGACTGAATTTTGTTTATCTATATTGCCTTTTTTCAAAGGCGCTATGTGAAAATTGTGAGTACCTACAATCTATATATTATTCTAAGACAAGGCGTTTATTTCCAGAGATCTACAAAACGTACAGAGACAAGTAATACATCAAATTAAAGTTTGCGATCTGAAACTTTGCACAAATTTTACAGATTTTAAATTCAATAAACCACTTTTGAGATATTTGCGTTTAAAGCTCTGCAATTTTTACATTAAGCTAATATAAGCAGCGCTTCTACAGAAAAGAGCATATATGTAAGAGAACGAATAATTACAAATATTTCTGTCATTTGCTTTCGTTACATAAGCAATTGCGAAATCTAACAACAACAATGTTGTCTGGTCGGTAGTAAAATGACAATAAGAGAATGACGAATATTACAAATTACAAATGTTTGCTTTGGCATGTGCACTGCGTAGTTGTATGAATTGTACATACATATGGTACATACATACATATGCATGCGCTAAGGCGCTATCTACGATTTGACATGCGCTCTCTTCTATGTTGTATATTCGTACGTATATGTATGTACGAGCTAAGGAACACTGCAATAGATACGAGACTCTTTGGTTCGAGAGAGAGCTGTCAAAACTCGCATTTTTTATAACATTTGCCAATGATGCCACTGCTGAAAAATAGTAGCTAGAGTATTTAATAAATTTCACAAAACACTAAATTAAACACTTCGATAATGCTTACATATATAAATGCTAAAATGCAAAATMATTAATTAATTTTATAAACACGGCACCTTGATTGTGTTTTGTTGCCAACTCAGAAAACAGATCAGGGTGCCCTGGCAGCTGACAAGCGAGAGAGCATAAAAAGAGATTCTGATCAAGTTATCTATGGCACTGCGCTTTGACATGCGCACTCTACTTTGTTTTATATTCACACATATGTATATATGGGCGAAGACGCAAGTGTAAAATCTAACAGAAATATTGTTGTCGGCGTTATTTTGATTAGAAGTGTTATTGCGKTAGGTAAGCTTTGAGTCAGTTCAGTTTTCTTCCAAGAGTCAAGGCGGCTATTACCGGCGAAAATATACATACTACATCGAATTTCAGTGCAGATTCAGATTAATTATTAAAAATAAAATGTCAAACCAAAGGCGAACTAGACGAAAAAGGGTCTTCGACCTGTTAGAAGAGAAGAGGTGAATGTATAGATAAGAAGGAATTTTTAATTGTTAATGTATGTATGTATATGAATTGACTTGTTTTATTAGAGCCGTAGTCATGCAGGATCTATGGCAAGTTATTTCAAAGCTGCCCTAAACTCCGTAGTTCTTCCGGAGTATAGTTCGCTTGGGGGTTTGACTAACATATATGTTTACACTGTAAAGCAAAACATTTCGGAAGTGAAAAGGTACCTATACTCTTCTTTGTTTTATATTCGTAATGTATGTATATACACTAGGTAGAAAAAGTCTCCGCTCATCAACCGTAACCTGTTCTTAAGTTAAATAAAATCTGCTAAATCGTTTCGAATTACAAAAATACCTTACTTTATTCAAATATACATTTTATGCGATACAAAAACAGTTTAAATTATATTCTACGTGTCGAATAAGGAAAAGAAATTTACTTAGTTTACTTCAATAATTAAACTAAGAACATAAAAAGTCTCCGCTCATTAAATTAAAAGCTGAACATTTAAACGAAGTAACAAAATTCAATTGCTTGTGGGATATCCACGTCGCTTTAAGACTTCTGAAAGTCGGTTGGGCATAGAATTAACGAGTTTCCTTGTTTCTTCAGAAGATATTTTCGCCCATTCTTCCAAAATAACTGCTTTGAGCATCTGTTTACTGGTGATTGTACGAGTGCGGATTCTACGCTCCAAAAGTGCCCACAGATGCTCAATTGGATTGAGATCTGGTGATTGTGGGGGTGTATGAAGTAATTTTGGCGCATTGTATAGAAGCCAAAGGCGAACAACGTCGGCGGTGTGCTTAGGGTCATTGTCATGTTGGAAATGATACTCATTAACCAACTCCAATTTCTCAGCACTTTGTTTCATTTGCCTCTTCAATATATTTAAATAATCAAATTTATTCATTATACCATCAATAAACTCGATTCCTCCTACTCCGCTTGCCGACATACACCCCCATAGTAGTACTCCTCCGCCACCATGCTTTACTGTTGAAGAGAGATTGCGGGCTTCTAACGCTGTACCAGTTTTTCTCCTAATAAGGAGGCAGAGCCTGAGTTGTATGAAATAGTCTCAAAATGTATGATTCATGGCCTGCATGACTGATGCGGGAATTGGCTCCAAAAACTATCCGAAAACTTTTCATGCTAATACGCTTTCAAACGTTAACAGCTATCCTCAATATCGCCGCCGCAATGATGGAAATAAAATAGTTGTTCGTTCCAATAGAAATTTCATTGAAATAGACAACCGATGGATAGTCCCATACAGCAAATATCTGACCAAAAAATGTAGTGCCCATATTAATGTCGAAATATGTTCATCGATAAAAAGCGATAAATACCTCCACAAATATATTTACAGAGGATATGATTGCCAATGCCACTTTAACCGCATATTTTAAATTGAATGCGATAGATCCATTTGCGAATACTTTGTTGTATTATCAAATTCCTGAATTCAAATAAGAAAACGTCCGAGTAATGCAATTGGTAGAATGTATACGGTCGATCCAAAAAATCGGGAACTCTTTACTTTACGTTTATTGCTTACTTCGTTAAAAGGATCCAGGTCGTATTCAAATATATTAACCGTGAACAGGGAACATCTCTCTTCTTATTCGGAATCAGCAGTAAA